AACACATTTTTAATTCTACCTTCTACACAATCGCATTTTATTTAAATTAAACTTCTCGTAACATCAGCTTTAGTATGCTCGTAGAAAAAATATAGTTCCTTACTTTTGCGGGAAGAAATTTCTCTTCCCGCACTCGTTAGGAAAATAGCTATTAAGACATAATATAACCTTATTTAAAAGTTGGTCAACTTTTATCTTTCAAAATTAAATTAAACTAAATTAAATTTGAGGTTGATCATTGACTTTCATCAGTTTGACAAGCAGTGGCGTAGCCAAACCAAACCTAGACGTCGGCGACATCCAAATTGCGAGGCCCTTTTCATGTAGGGTGGCTAGGGTGGCTAGGGTGGCTAGGGTGGCTAGGGTGGCTAGGCTGGCTATATTTATTGTGACAAAAAGCTGAATATAAAGACAGGGACGGTAGGCCCGCCGAAGGCGAAGATTTTTACATCGTACACAGTACATCGACCCGATTCATACTATTCATTGCATTCATTATTGCATTGATTCAGTGTCGTAGCAGTCAAAAAGAGTAGAAGTGTTCAAATAGTGAGAAGCCAATCCGTCCAGAAGATATTTCCATCACCATGCTCAGTAAGAGTCTAGGGAGCTTTTGATGAATTCAGCCCTAAGACCCCGAAAAGCAAAGAAGCCAAATCCAGTCAAGCTGGATCCCAGAAGCCGGGAATTAGAAGCCCAACTAAAGAGCAGACAAGTGCAAGAAAAAAAACCACCAGCTACCACGCTTCGGCCCGGTACATCAATGATTCCAGTAAAAAATGCAGTAAAAGGTTCAGTAATATAAAAAACATTCGATTGGCATCTAAACTACACGTACCTGTATCAACTTCCTCAGGGACGCCACAGCGACATGTTGAGGGCGTCGGACATTCCCGAAAGCCACATGGTTTTTGTCCGACAAATGTGATATCGTTAATGTTATATAAAAAATAGTCGATTGGCATTGAAACTACACGTACATGTATCAACTTCCTTAGGGTCGTCAGAACGACAACTTTACGAAGAGCTAGCGCGAAATGTCCCATCGTCCAGGGTGGAGATATGAAAAATATTGTCCGACTTGGTGTTATGAAGCGGCTCAGGAAGATTGGCATGTACATGAGTTACAAAATTTAAAGGTCGATGTACTGAGGATTATAATATTTTTCCGCTAACAAATCCTTCCGACAATCTACCGAAAAAATAAAACCATATGATTTGGAGTTCTGGTTGATTTGCAGTAGAATTGGTAGTTTTCAGTGAATTCTATGATATTTGGAAGTTTCGTATAGGATTAAGTTTATTTGTCCTCTACGTTTTATTTTGGAAAATCGAAACGTGCAAATTTGTAGGTTCGATAACCTATTTTTTGCGAGGCCCCTTAGGGCGCGAGGCCGTCGCCAGTCGCCGACGCCTAGCTACGCCACTGTTGACAAGGCAAATGACGAATAATGAAATTTTTCTATATCAGTTAAAAAATTACTGTATGAACGCCACAACGTAAAATTATATTAAATCTTAAATTATGTTGATATAAAATTAAATTAAAGGACCCCGCACAAAAAGATAGGAAAAGTGGTCCCGGTCAAATCCTCTGAAATTTTGATATGATATACTTCTCGTTATCCTGATTAAAAGCTTTCATCGACGCAAAAAAAAATTATCGAGGGGTTTTCGAGTTATAGCTCCTCGAAGACGTCATTTTGGATATAGATGTCAACGTTGAAAATTGTATAAGTATTAAATATTATCTCGTTTACATAATTTGGTCAAATAGTATTAAAAATAGAGTAAATAAACTTAAAAAGATCAGAAATACTTAAATAGTGTGAGTAAATATGTTACAAAATGATACAATAAAGGTGCTGTTTGTTTGTCATTAGTCCGGGTGTTCATCTGTTGTTTCTCTATACCTCTAAACATTAAAAAATCTGACGCGTCTTTTTCAAGTTATAGCGTGTTGTGTTTTTTTTTAATTTGGTCAAGTATTATCGAAACAGCAGGGAACGAAAAAAAAAGTTTTATTTAGGTAAGCCGCGGGTAAGCGGCTACCTAATTGAGTGAAAAGCTCATAGTTTCTTCCATATACAGGAATTACTGTGAAAGCAAAAAATATAGTATAAAATAAATCTATAAATATATAAAAATAAATTCTATATTTTTGTTTTTGATAACGAAAGATCTATATACACACTATACTTTTAATCTATTTTATGCCAATATCAACAATTCAAGATTTAAAGCATTAAAAATACACATAGTTTGCTAAAAATTAGAATATAAGCATATTAGCAGGTATTAATGAAAATAATGAAAAAAAGCTAGGTGGACTCTAGTTTCAATTGATAAGCACGTACTTTATTTGGGGCTCTGTTTCCAGCATCTGATACACGATGTAGTAACTCGGTTGCTGGATAATGGATATTGGGTTGGTGTCGAGGGTAACCAAAATACCAATAATAATTGTTGTTGTGAGCACAAGTGCCCAGTGTTCTGGATCCTGACTTGCAAGCAAGTATAATAATGACCTCTTAGCCTCTTACATTTTCAAAATCGTATTCAATGAAAATCTAGTGCCTAACTGCATTTCTGAAGCGCGAAAACACTCTCTACCTGATCAGATTGAGGTAATTCAGTAACAGGTCTATTTGCTCCTCTGCGCATAGTGTCCCTGGATATAAGAAGCCGCAAGATTTATTTGATAGACACCTACAGTTAAGTCCCTCATATTTTAGATCCAAATGTGGAAACTCTAAGACATGATTTTCATGTAAGCGCCTCCACTGCGCATTTCTAACCCGCAGGTTTTCTTGTTCGATTCTAAATTGCAAATTATTTTCGGTAAGCGAACTTTGCCGTATTTGTTGGGCCAGCTCAAATGTTGCTCCTTCCATTATTACTGGCTCCTACCTAATGATATATTTATACTGGACCGAGGTTACCGAGGTGCCATGCCCTTGTTGGAAAGGCTGGGAAGTGAATGTAGGATGCCAACTCAACTAAGGGCGCACGAACATCAATTGTCGACAGAAGAAGCTAACCTATCACGACTAATAACTAAGACTCGATGGCTTATTGAAGCAAAAAACGAACATTTTAAATATGTGGGCGATCTTTACAGAATTTGTGGGGCCCTGTTTAATAAATACCGGGATCCAGTACTAATAGAAGGACTAACAGTTGAGATGGCCCAACAAATACGGCAAACATCGCTTAGCGAAAATAATTTGCAAGTTATAGAATCGAAGAAGAAAACCTGCAGGCTAGAAATGCGCAGTGGAGGCGCTTACACGAAAATTATGCTCTAGACTTTCCACATTTGGATCTAGAATAGAGGGACTGAACTGTAGGTGTCTATCAGATAAATATTGCGCCGTCTTACACCCAGGACACTGTGCACAGAGAAACAAATAATGAATTGCAAATAGACCTGTTACTGAATTACCCCAATCTGATCAGAATAAAGGTGTTTTCGCGCTTCAGAAACGCAGTTAGGCACAAGATTTTCATTGAATTTGACTTCAATAATGTATGAGGTCATTACTGTACCTGCAAGTCAGGATCCAGAACGCTGGGCACGTGTGCACACATAGCAGCAGTTATTTGGTATTTGGGTTACGCGCGACACAAACCAAATATTCATTATCCGGCAACCGAGTTACTACATCGTGTATATCAGATGCCAAAAACAGAGCCCCAAATACCCTTCGTTTTATCAATTAAAACTAAAATCCATCTCGCTTTTTGTTCGTTATTCTCATTAATATGTTTATATCCTACTGAACTATTAAAACCATATAATACCTTGGTTACGATAATCATAAACAGGGCCTTAACTTAGTTAAGGATTTTCATAACTCCCAAGGGAGTTAAGGAAGGGAGTTAAGGATATCATAACTCCCAAGGGAGTTAAGGATTTCCATAACTCCCGCTTTTACCTTGAATAGGTAACACTTTGACATAAAATAGAAATTTTGATTTATGGCTTATTCCTTTATAAAAATAGACATAATACAGTAAATTCAGTAGGATATAAAATTATCTATGTACCACGGGAATTATCAGGAGTTAATACCCACGGGCAATTGGTGTCCCTCGGGCCGGAGGCCCTCGGGACACAAACGTTGCCCTGGGAGGGTATTAACACCTGCATAATTCCCTTGATACATAAATAACTATTATTTCTAATTTTTAGCGGACAATGTATATTTTTTAATGTTTTAAATCTTGAGCTGTTGGTATTGGCATCGAAAAAGTATACTGTGTATATAGTATATAGATCTTTTGTTATTAAAAACAGAAATATGGAATTTATTTTTGTATATTTATACATTTATTTTATAATATATTGCTTGCTTTCGCAGTAATCCCTGTTTATGGGAGGAACTGAGCTTTTTACTCAATTAGGTAGATACACTAGATACCTACTTACCTGAATAAAACCTTTTCTTGCGTTCACTGCTCTTTCAATAATACTTGACCAAATTAAAAAAAAAACATTACAACACGCTATAACTTGAAATAAACGCGTCAGATTTTTCAATGGTATAAGTATAGAGAAACAACAGATGAACATCCGGACTAATGACAAACAAACAGCACCTTTATTGTATCATTTTCTAACATATTTACTCACACTATTTAGGCATTTCTGATCTTTTAAAGTTTATTTACTCTATTTTTTATAGTATATTAGACCAAATTATGTAGGTAAACAAGATAATATTCAATATACAATTTTGAACTTTGACATCTTTTATATCCAAAATGACGTCTTTGAGGACCTATAACTCGGAAACCCCTCGATAGATTTTTTTGCGTCCATGACAGCTTTTAATCAGGATAACGAGAAGTATATCATATCAAAATTTCAGACGATTTGACCGGGACCACTTTTCCTATCTTTTTGTGCGGGGTCCTGTTAGAACCCAGCCTATGTGATGATAAAATAGGTCAAAACTGGACACACAAAAATTTGCTTCAATTATCGTGGTTATGCCATGAAATCAATTTTTATTTTCCATTACATATTCGCAAATAATATAGTCACAGGCAAAATCAAAAAAACAATATGGTTTTGAACTTGGGAAGAATGTAGAGTAGAATCTGGCTCTTGTTTTGGTTCCTTTTTACCACAAAGTGCCTGAAATTCGTAGTTTGCTAAAAGCCCAGGGGGACACTTGCTGGCAGGTTCACCCTCTTCGTAAATGCGTCCCCATCGGATATTTCCAGAGGGACCGTAGTTGCATGCAAACGTACACTCCTTTTTGTTGCGAGCCATTGCGCAACCGATGTGTGAGGTTCTGGCCCAGATTACTTGTGTAAAATGACCGATTATTTTACCCTCGGGTTTGTGGTATTTTTCGGCAATTTGGTCAAATTCTGATTGGGGAATGTGTACGATTTCACCGTACCAATTGTTTATCATGGTAGGGACTTGAGCCGCACAATCTCCTTTATTGGAGCTCCAAGCCAAATTTTGACCAGCAGTGGAAAATTTTTCGGTTACATGACATTGATCGTGTTTCATACCTGCGCAAGGTTTTAAATTGCAGGCTGCCAAATATTCCAGATAAATGTCCCAGTTCAGGTACATCATATTAGCTGCCTTACCAGCGCTCGGTTGCCTTTTTTCTTCGCCTTTAGCGAATGTATTTCTGTAAATTAAAAAATAATTTGAGTTGGTTTTTCGTTTCGACTGTGAAGTTTGGAGATGAATAAAGAGCAGTGAGACTTCAATCTTACTGCTACATAATAAAATTTTAAAAACCTCAGCTTATTGTGGGTATCAAGAATGACATTCTCATCAATTTTCGCCAGCTCACATGGACTATCCAATGTGTAACAGTTCTTATGGATGCACCCAATGTGATCTTCTTTCGGGCAATTACGTTCGCACCAATCAGTTGCTTGCTTCGTCGATGTGTTGTCCTCGGCTACCGTCAGTTTACCAAGTGATAAAATGACGAGAAATAGAATATTCACGGAACAATTCATTTTTGTTAGTAAATTCTCTTGCAAAATTTGACCCAATTGTCAGTTTTTTAATCTGGATAACCTGTCACTGATTGTCAGTGACTGATAGGTACCAGAGATAAATAGGTTACCTCTCGTTTTTATTCTCATCGGTGACTTCACCGATGAGTTAGCTTTCTTTGTTTAGTGAATGGAAAATGACAATGACGGCCATAGAATGGTGGATCCATCGGTAAAATTTGATGAGAATAAAAACGCAGGGTACTATCCTTAGAGCAGGTAAATGTAAAGAGGAGTAGTAACACAGCATTAGGCAATTCAAACCACGTGACATTCAAGATGGCGTGGCGGCCACACATGGACCAAAAAACACAAAAAAATGTCTAGTTTCTGCCCGACTTAATAGTTTACGTCAATGACATTTACATACCTAGTAAACAAATATTTTATTGAATAATCAAAATCAGAGCTGCAAGCAAAGCTCGAAGCAAAATAATTTAAAATATACATGAAAACACATATTCAAAACAAACTTGCTGGCCGCCACGCCATATTGAATTTTTCGTTTTGACAGATGGATTGAATTGCCTAATATACAAAAACAATCAGCAGGCTAACTTGAGTGACAGCCCGTGTAATAAAGGAATTCATCGTCCCTGTGACAGAGTCGTATTGGCTTTAAATAAACTAATTTATTATTACTTACATATAAAAATGTTTATAATTACTAATTTATTATTATTATTGAATATACAAGAATGATAACAGATAACACCATAAATGACAACACGAATATATCAAAATCGTTTTGAAAATCATATCTAAAATTCCGCTCTATACCGCACGCCTATGACCTCCGTCAGAAATAAACAAATAAAATAAAATTTCGGCGCTCCTGCCGTTTAAAGACAGCGTTTTGACAAAATGGAATCCCCTAATTAGGCAATTCAATCCATCTGTCAAAAAGGAAAATTCAATGTGACGTGGCGGCCAAACAAGTTTGTTTTGAATATGTTTTTATGTGTATTTTAAATTATTTTGCATACAGTTTTGCTTACAACTTTGATTTTCATTATTTAATAAAATATTTGTTGACTAGGTACCTAAACTATTAATTCGGGCAGAAACTAAATATTTTTTTGTGTTTTTTTGCCCATGTGTGGCCGCCACGCCATCTTGAATGTCACGTGGTTTGAATTGCCTAATGGCGGCGTGCGCAGAAAAGATGCGTGAGAGTTAGCCTGCTGATTGTTTTTGTATATGCTGTGGTAGTAACATGGAATCGATTACCAATCGACCTTTCTCATTTTACCTGTGCTGTGCGTGCATCTTGTGGGTGACAGATAATTGAATCGTCAATTTACTGAACACGGTCTGACCCTGACGTATTTAAGCTAACCTCAATAATCAATCATTATCAACCATCAACCAATGAGTATCAACCAATATTGCTGAAAATTATTACAAAAACTGTTTATGATACAATGGTTCAAATGAGTTGAATGAGTTCTTGTCAGAATTAGGCGAAAAAGATGTCAAACCTTTCTTTTCACAAGTTCCCAAGCAATCAAATTGTGAGAAAACGATAGTTACGTGCTCTCAACCCGAATGAAGACGATTCAAGTTGGGACAGAGATTTGAGGGTTCGTGTAAAATAACGATTTTTATATCAAATACAATAATAATGTACAATTAAAGGTTTGCTGGAAACATTTTTGCTGCGGTGGATTTTCTTTATCTATTAATGTTAACACGTATTTTGTCATATTTACGTTAAAAAATAAACAAAAACAGAAAATAACCGAAATTGTACAATTTGATAAGTGGAACCAATCAAAGTCATTCCACACAGGTATCCCGCGTCATTATATGTCTTTTTCTTTGTTGCAGAAATCTTAATAAACTATCTTTGTTGTTCATTGCATGGGAAAGGTCCATTTTTCCAGGTATTTTGGCACCAAAAAAATGGCGGTATTGGCGATTTCAAAAATCAATGCGGCACCTGGCGGAAATATTTGGAACTAAATAAAAGAGTAATAGATTGTTTGTTTACATACCGTATTGGAATATTTTCTTGCTTTTTCGATGTTTTCTGTTCGTTCCTTATTTAAATTACGACGTGTTTTGTGTTGAAAAGTGGGAAATAATCAAGGGAAAGCTTTTATTGTGATTCTGTGAGGTGCTTTATTACAGGGTTTCGATAGCATCTGCCTCAAAGTTCCAGCACAACACAAACTGCTGTGTATACGAATACAATTCCCGAAAAGATGCAGACAGAACTACCTATTAATTTTTACTATTTTCCTAAGAAAAATAGTGATCGCGTGAAAATTTTGAATGTACTCGGACAAGAAGAGCTGATAGATCGGAGAAAAACTGTGGCCAAACTCAAAGACGGGCCTCCATTTTCCACATTTCGTGTTGTATGGATACGAAATGCACAATAGAAAGTAACAACGTTTAAAATTTAAAGAATATGGTAAAAAACCACTGAAAAAACTACTTTACCTGCTCTAAGGTACTATCATTAATAGAGTTACTCAATACGCAATTTCTTGTTTTCAAATTCCACCCTATACCTATATGCTATGATATACCTACTATTCAGTAGGTATATCATTTTTATTTTAGAAGGGTAGTTTACACGAGCAACTTAAACTATCGCAAGTTTCTGTCTGAGAGTACTTCCAAAGAATTTGCTGAATGTGAACAATGTCCGACAGCGCTTGCACGTTTAAACAAGTTGGGAGAATGTCCTAGCAAGTCGTAATTTATTTTCGGTTTTGTTGAGAGTTGTGTTTGAGTGCTTGAAAGTTGAATAAACATTGTTAAAATAAAAATATTACCAATTTAAGAAGCCGATGTTTGTATAAAATACGTACGTCGTTGCTTGATCCACAAGTATATATGGGTACCTATAATTATAATAAAATAAAAGTGTACCTACATACTTGGTTAGTAGATGTACTTCAATAATCCAAAAAAATGGAAAAACAAATGACTGAACTAGTGATAAATAAATAAATAAACAATTCACCAACAATCATAACACAACACACAACCTCACTTTCTTACAGCTGGTTTTAGACCCGACGTACGTCCACCGAAAACAGACACTTTTAATTAAAATCATTTGTATTTTTAATTCATAGGTCTAAGAAAACAATTAGAGCATGAATTATAGAGAAATATGTTCAAAGTTTGACGTATAATAGGTTCAAATACTAAGAAATGCCCAGAACCCAAGATATTCCCGTCTGAAAATCACTCTTTTGAATCCCCCATAAGAAATACATTGCTGTCAAATTTGTTGAAATGTGTTTAGGAACCCATTTTAAATTTCGCGCCCGATTTTTCCTAACCTAACTAATATGGTGAATTGTGCCGGTGTTTATGCAAATTGTCATTCCCATTTACCAAAAAAAAAAAAATGAAAGAAAAAACCGAGGGGCCAGCCCTCAATTTTTTTTATTTTTGGCTGATTCAATTGTACTCGTTTTGTACTCAATTTGAATTTATTTTTATTTTATTATTATTTTTATTTTTAGTGGTTGAAAAAATTGTTAGGTACCTACTTATAGATATTTTATTGCTCCCCTTCAATCCCTTTATTATTTAAATATCCCTTTCTTGTTTGGTGTGATCTATCATTTATTTATTCAACTTCAATAGTTTTGCAGCTGCAAAGCTTCTAAGTCCTTTGACTATGATTTTTATCAAGAATATGACACTAACATACATTTTGTCTCACAACTTTGTTAATTTCGATCCGATCTGAACGTAATTGGGCTTTAATTGAAGCCAATTGAACTCGTTACAAATCTCCAGTGAATGATTTCAATCCTGCTTCAATAGTTTTGAGGCTGCAAAGCTTCAAAGTCTTTTGACTATGATTGTTATCAGGATGAAAGAGCAAAATTATTCTTTTTTTCAAATTTCAATCTTTCTTTCATCCTTTTGCAAAATATTGATCCAATCCTTCAAACACTTTCCTCAAAAAAAAAAAAAAAACATTTCGCAATGCTGTTCTTTGGAAATTTGATTTTTCCCAAAATGACAACAAACTGAAGTAACAAACACATTTTGCCACACAACTTTGTTAACTTCAATCGCCAATATTAACGAAATTGGGCTTCAATTAAAACAGACTTTGTTAAAACCAATTAAATTCTCTACAAATCTTCAATTTCGTTTCGTTAAAAAAAAATGTTTTTTTGTGTCGGACTGGTAAAATAGATACCTTTTCGCTCCGGCGATATGTAGGTATATTAGGTGGAACTTTCATATAATTAGTTTAATATTAGTGCGATACGACAAACTGCCCTTGTAGTCAAGAAATGAAACTCAAACTAGAAACAATACTGTGCTAAGCCAAATCATGGATCAGCCTTCTGGTTCAAATACAGAGAATCAAGGAATTACTTATAATTGGGGAGGTGGCGTCAAAAACATGCAAGAGCTTTCGCAAGGCGGATATTTTCAAAATAGGTCGTACTTTAGTGTTAGAATGCTAGTGTACAGTCAGCACTCACGGTTCCGGGACAGCTTGCTCTGGGACGCGGGCAAAGTTGTAATTTAAAAGAAGCATCTAAACTGTTTTCTCAAAGCTCAAAATTTATAGAAATTTTGCACATTATCTGTTTGAAGGTCACAGATAACGTATGTAAATCGTCAGACGTCTAGTTCGTTGCAAAAAGGGGGTCAGGTGCCTTATTCTGTAAGGAACGAACCGTTCGATTCGGTAGAATTTCTTTGATTGTGACGTCATTTTCGGTTTTGTTTTCGCGCTACCAAACCGTCCTCAAAGCTTTCATTATATGGCATTTTCAAATATATTTGTCAAATACCTGCAAAAATATATTTTGACAGGACACCGAAGAAAATGCCATAAAATAAAAACACTGAGGGCGTTTGACACCCTTTTCGCAGCGACATCTGACGATTTACACACGTCATCTGTGACCTTCAAACAGATAATGTGCAAAATTTCTATTAATTTTGAGATTTGGAAAAACAGTTAAAGTTCGTTTTTTTTTTTAAGATAAAAGTCAAACTGACATTATG